TATGTGAAAAAGCAGGAAGATTTTCTTTTAGATGCCGAAGAGACTCGAGGCAAGAGGGATGTCGTTTTACACGAAGGGGGATGAGTATACTATAGACGGGATATGTGAACAAGTAGGAAGATTTTCTTCTAGATGCCGAAGAGACTCGAGGCAAGAGGGATATCGTTCTACAAGAATGCTGATGAGTATACTATAGACGGGATATGTGAACAAACAGGAATACTTAAGGAAAGTTGCTACAGATGTACTCAGAATCATAAAGAGACAGTTGAAATTTCTGGGACAAGTAACGCGATGTCTTGGAGAATTTGGCTTCAACAGGGCAGGAGTTGTGAGGGTAACTTAGCTAACGTAATTGTGTAAATGGATGGCAGAACAAATCCAGGGACGGATAGTAAGTTGCTTAACTTCAGTGATAATACTAGATCCGGTGTTTCAATGTGATATGACTGTAAGCCTTTAAGAATTAAAACAAACATTACTAAAAGAATAGACCTGCTATATATGCCGTGTAAATCTCATTGTAATAATTTTACGATAGAAATCCGTGCAACTTAAGACAGAAAAATGATTTGTTATCGATCAGGAATCAATTGGTGTATTACTGACGGGATCAGACTATTTTACACATAAAGTAAATATATTGATAATGATTTTACTTTAGAAATTGAAAATCAGCCATCAGGGATTTATCCATGTACGGGAATCAGTCTTAGTTTACCGACAGAGGACGGCTGTTTTTATTTTATTTAAGCTTTTCACGCAAGGGGTTACAGAAGATTTGGTGCAAAATCAGATAGGAATGATCAAGGAAAGGGCGAGGAGAAAGCTAGTGGATAGATCAAGGCAACTGGACATGTCGATAGACATTCCATTTGAATAGCTGGAGATTATAGATTATAGCTCTCGGGGAAACAGGAATTGGGAAGGGAGTTCCACAGGCGAGAGGTGCGAGATATGAAGCTATTGGAGTAGAAGAGACGGCTACATTTATGAGTTTCAACATTGAAAGGGTGAGAGCGGGATGCCAGCCTCGTAGGACGCTTGAATTCACGAAGTCTGGGAACCAGCCAATGCAGCTCTTCGGAGCAATTACCATGAAGGTATTTGTAAAAAAAGACAGAGAGAGGCGATGGCGCATCTGTGAAAAAGTGACTGTAGACGAGATGTCAGATCAGGGTCAATTGTATTGCATATCCGCATCTGAATCTTATCAAGAACCACGAGGCAAACAGAAAGAGCTCCAGACGGTCTATAGTAAACTCATCGCCCTTACTGTAGAACGGCATCACTCTTGCCTCGAGTCGCTTCGGCATCTAAAAAAAACCTTCCTGCTTGTTCACATATCCCGTCTATAGCATACTTCCTGTAGAAAGACATCACTCTTGCCTCAAGTCTCTTCAGCATCTAAAAGAATATCTTCCTGCTTTTTCACATATCCCGTCTATGGTATACTCATCACCCTTCATGTAAAACGATATCACTCTTAACTCAAGTCTCTTCGGAATCTAAAAGAAAATCTTCCTGCTTCTGCACATATCCCGTCTATAGTATACTCATCACCCTTCGTGTAGAACGACATCACTCTTGCCTCGAATCGCTTCGGCATCTAAAAGGAAATCTTACTACTTGCTCACATATCCCGTCTATAGTATACTTCATGTAGAACGACATCCCTTTTGCCTCAACTCTCTTCGTTATCTAAAAGAATATCTTCCTGCTTTTTCACATTTCCCGTCTATCGTATACTCATTAGCCATCCTGTAAAACGACATCACTATTGCCTTAAGTCTCTTCGGCATCTAAAATAATATCTTCCTGCTTGTTCATATATCCCGTCTATAGTATACCCATCACCCTTCGTGTAGAACGACATCACTCATACCTCAAGTCTCTTCGGCATCTAAAAGATAATCTTTCTGCTTGTTCACATATCCCGTCTATAGTATACTCATCACACTTCGTGTAGAACGACATACCTCTTGCCACAAGTCTCTTCGGCATCTATAAAAAATCTTCTTGCTTGTTCACATATACCGCCTATAGTTAACTCATCCCCCTTCGTGTAGGACGACATCACTCTTGCCTCAAGTCTCTTTGGCATCTATAAGAAAATCCTCCTGCTTGTTCACCTATACCGTTTATAGTATACTCATCACACTTCGTGTAGAACGACATACCTCTTAACGCAAGCATCTTCGTTACCTAAAAGAAAATCTTCCAGCTTGTTAACATATCACGACTATAGTGTACTCATCACCCTTTGTGTAGAACGATTTCGTCTTCCCTCAATTCTCACTGACATCTAAAAGAACATCTTACTACTTGCTCACATATCCCGTTTATAGTATACTCATCTCCCTTCATGTAGAACGACATCCCTCTTGCCTCAACTCTCTTCGGCATCTATCAGGAAATCGTACTGCTTGTTCCCATATCCCGACTATAGTATACTCATCCCCCTTCATGTAGTACGACATCCCTTTTGCCTCAACTCTCTTCGTTATCTAAAAGAATATCTTCCTGCTTTTTCACATAGCCGTCTACAGCATACTCATCAGCCTTCCTGTAAAACGACATCACTCTTGCCCTAAGTCTCTTCGGCATCTATAAGAAAATGTTCCTGCTTGTTCACATATCCCGTCTATACTATACTCATCACCCTTCGTGTAGAACGACATCACTCTTGCCTCAAGTCTCTTCACCATCTAACGGAAAATCTTCCTGCTTGTTGTCATATCCCGTCTATCGTACACTTATCACCCTTCGTGTAGGACAACATAACTCTTGCCTCGAGTCGCTTGGACGTCTAAAACAAAATCTTCCTCCTTTTTCACTTATCCCGTCTATAGTATACTCATCACCCTTCGTGTAGAACGACATCACTCTTGCCTCAAGTCTCTTCGGCATCAAAAGAAAATCTTCCTGCTTGTTCACATATCCCGTCTACGGTATACTCATCACCCTTCGTGTAGAACGACATCCCTCTTGCCTCGAGTCGCTTCGGCATCTAAAAGAAAATTGTCCAGTAATCACTGTCAATAGTATGATTGATATTACTTAGCAGTTCTGCACTATTTTCTTTGGTGCTGACGTAATTTTTCTTGTTTCTTAATACTTTGTTTAGCTTTTAGAATGCATCTTTCGCTATTCAGACGCGCCTTCTGATTGACTTGTAACATTTTCCGTCGCCCGTTAAATCGATCCCCATACCGTTAAATGTGTTGGCCTTGCATGATTTCGACGTCCCCAATTCGTAGCGCACATCTCGTGATGTCTTTCTTGTTAACGACCATACCGTCTGTCTTCTTGAAATTTATGAATAATCCTTTCTCATCGCTTTTTCTTTTTACAACCTTTTCTAAAAGAATCTGAAGTTGTTTCTTTTTCTGTTACTGCCATTAATACGATGCCGTTTGCGTATTTCATGATTTTTTATAGGTTGCCGGAATGTTAAAGTGATAATAAATGCAGATTGAACTATCTCCATAACAATGTTATGCAATTAATAGCCTTTTTGTTTTTTTTGTTTTTTTTGTCAGCCATGTTTGTCATTCATCACCGGGGATAACCTCTTCCAATATTTTATTTTTACAATTTTGTTTCCTTGCTGAAATTGGTAGTACATTTAGATTGTCTTTATAATTACCCTATCTCACAGCAAGGCTTATTTCGAATTCAAAGTGAATTAATGTGATGGCATTTATTTAACTATTTCCATTTTAATTTCGCCTACAGATTGTAAGTTTCCCCTTTAGAAATTTTTTTTTGTTTATTTTACAATGATGTCCACACTGTACATGGCCCAATAGACACTTGAGATAGATGGTTAATATTAAAAGACACCACCCCAAGAAACGTGCTAATGCTAACAACATGTAAGGGGCCACTGGAATGGAACTGCTTTAGAGGGAACTGGAAACCCGATCCGAAACAAGAAACTGGTGTTAAAATTCTGATTCTGTTCATAACGCATCTCTATATACGAAGAAAAATGTAGATAAATAGTAAATAAAAATTTAAACTTTTAGGCGGAGATGTTAGAAGTGTATAGATGAAGTAGAATTTAGAAGTAATCGGAAACCCAATCCTAAACAGGAAATAAACCTCTACTTCCGTTTAAAAGACTGGGAAGGATAGTGAACCAGTCGATAGGCAAACCTAGTAGATAACGTGAGCTTTATTTGAGAATTAAACTTTAATATGATAAACTGGTCTCCCGCTCTCTCACACTCTCTTTCTATCTTTCTCTCTCTCTTTCTTTCTCGCTCTCCTTCACTCTCTCTCCCCTCTTTCTCTCTCTCTATCTCTCTCTCTCTCTCTCTCTATATATATATATATATATATATATATATATATATAATGTTTAGTTTTCTTATTTCTTTTTCGGGTTAATTTCCATTAAATAAAATATGGAATAAAATACGCCTTACAGATTCTATTTTTCTATCATATGATCATAATATAAAGATTTTTATGCATACAAAAATATGACTTTCACAAGCAGTAACAACTAAAATGGATAGTACATGTGATTCAAAGAGAAAATAATGATATAATCCACACAACTTCAAACAAAAGGTTAAGAAGGAAACCTCTGTCAGTATTAAAAAGGCAATAACAGCCACTGGACTTGAGAAAACTATTTTTCTTAAAAGATTGTTTTAAGCGAAAGATTTTATAAATTTCATCGACAGTGGCACTGACAGGCCGGTCAATGAATGCCGAATGTTTCCTTATAAGGAAACGGCCAATACTGCCATTACCATTATCTTTCATAAAAAAAAGTGCGATGTGCAGGTAGCGTAAGTAATCCGTACCAAAATTGGAATCGGTGAGACGATTTCAAAATCTTCCCTAGTCTATTTCGGCAACTTAATTTCTAATACTCTTGGGAAAGGCATGACACTGTCTTTTCCCTGTCACCAAATATCGGGGTAGAATGAGTTACAGCCAGTCTAGGAGAAAGACTATTTTGAATTCAAAACAGTGAAAATCACTCAAATTCCTCTTTTTCTCACTAGATAGATAGATAGATAGATAGATACCGAGAGAGAGAGAGAGAGAGAGAGAGAGAGAGAGAGAATTATATATAATGACGAGTTTAACTAATATAAAATATGGCAAGAATTACAGCTACACTCTCGTAACAACTGCGTATATCATGGTCAGGGAGCTAAATAAATATAAACAGATACTAAAATTAAACAACTCCAATAACTTAAATATTTGGAAAGTCTTTTAACAGTAAAATTATTTAGAAACAAAGAAAAGAGTACTGGACTGTTACACGATATCTGTACTCTTATGGCAGTAAATGCTGGAGAATATCCTCAAAGATGAAGAAGAGACTTGAAACAACAGAAATCTAGTTCTATAGAAGGATGCTGATAATACATTGGATCGAATATATGTGTCAATTTTAGAGAAAATGGAGTCCAAAAGGACACCTATATTTAACATCAGAAAGATAAAGTTGAAATTTCTAGACCCTATAAATAGGAAAGAAGGCTTGAAAAATTTGATGCTCGCAGGAATAGATTGAATGCAGGGGTGGGGAGGCAGAGGAGAATGACTCGTAACGTACATAGCGAGCTTGAGTAAATGGATGGCAGATGATTGATAGTACAGTTTAAAAGAGATAACAAAAAGACAAAATTTATTCATTTACAACAGACAGGAAATTGTGGAAAGCCATAATCGCCAACGCCCTGAAAGGACATGACATATAGAGAAAGAATGTCTCCTTGGAAGTCCTAGCTTGCTAAGACACGAAAGAAACGGATTCTGTGGAAACTTATATTCGTATGCCAGTTTAAAAAATATGACATTTTTAAAGTTAAAATATAAAACTGAGTGATTGATGGAAGACAGGAAGTTGTAGAGAGACATGATCACCCATAATCTAAAAGTACATGGCATATAAAATGAGATGTTTCGTATAAATCAGTACATGTTGGTTTCTTTCGTTAGAATTTAAGAAATTTTATATTTTCCCTTAAAAGAAGCACTTTACGACTTCTTTTTCATCTGAATTTCCAGTAACGATAATCTTGTACCTAGGGACCATTATTAAATAAAATTTTTGAATGATTTATTTCAAGAGTTTACCGCAGGTAAGTGAAATTTCGTCAAGCGAAACTTTCTGATAAGAAATACATACATACATGCACACACACACACGCGCACACACACACGCACATATATATATATAATATATATACACACATAATATGCATACATATATATAAATATATATCTGTGTGTGTGTTTGTAAGTGTATAAAAATTGTAGATAGAGTATATTTGTAAAAAAGAAAATAAAAATAATAAAACAAAAAGAAAACTAAACTTAGCCGACGCGTTTCGTCATCTGTCATGACTAAGTGCCACAGAGATGGAAACGCGTCGGCTAACATAAATTTGATTTTCTCTTCATTGTGTGCGTGTGTATGTGTGTGTGTGTTAGTATTAATTTATTTATAGAAGATATAAAAAAGAAATATATAATTATTTATTTCTTTGTGAAAAGAGAAATTCACACATTTATTTCCTTGTGAAAAGAGAAACATAAAAAACATTTGTTTTCTTGCATGTATTATTTTCAACTCTTCTGATTAAAAACTACGTTGTTTTTTTGTTTTGTTTTTTTTTTCCAGGTAAACTGACATCTGATTGTTTAAAGAAGACTTCAAAAGAAATTACTAGCGACTTCTTTTGAAAATGGACTAAATTTGACATCGTGGTATTATCAAGTACTTGCAGAAAAATGTTTAAATCGACATTTATGCAGATATGGTTGCTACATTAGAAGATGTTGATCCAGCTTTATTAACAGTGCTTAACTGGGAAGCTAAGTTTAAGAAGGGAACGAAGAGTTTTTTTTTTAAGATGACCCTAAGTCGGGACGTCCTACGTCTGCCACCACAGAGGAAAATAATGTTCCAACACAGAAGTCATTGTGTGTGACTGTGATATCAGCCCAAAACAGGGGATGCCTGATAATGGTTAGAGGGTACTTGGCCGAAACGTTGTGCATGTAATAACATTTATATCAAACAAGATGAAGACAAATGGTCCAAATAATAAAAAAAAATACATGTATATTTATATGTCTGATTTATTCCAAAGCAGTTTTAGGCTGGTTGGTTGATTTTCTTTTGGCAGTATATCAACACCGCTATGGGTCATTTAATGCGGCATCCGAAATAGTTGTCCATAATTTTATGCAATATATCGAGAAAAAAATAACTTTACCCTGGAAGTATAAAATTATGTACAAAATCTCTGTATGAACTAAAGATATTTTGTACAGAATTTTATACTTCCAGGGTAGGGATATGTTTTTGTTTTTTTTTCGATATATTGTTTGTGTATCATAAAATCTATTATTGGTAATTTTACTATAAAAATGTATTTTTATATTTTTTTTTAAAGTTTTACGTTGATAGACCTTTTGCTATGAAAAATGTATTTTATTATAAAAATGTAAAATTTTGTTTGTGGATTCACTATATGATCATAGCCGGAACCCTAACAGGTGCTACCACCCTGCCAATAGAGTTTTAAATAGAGTTTATTTTAAGATTAATAATAGAACGAGAAGTATATCTCCGTATGTTTTCTTGTGCGTTAGAGGGATGCGAGGATTAATAGGAAAAATCATAACCCTCGTAACTGAGATAAAATCATGGTTAAGAATCAGATGTATAACACTTAGAGGTGACAACGTCACAAATCTTCGATGATGGATCACCTAGGTGGCCATGAAGAGGAACTAGATGCGGCTACTGAACAAGAAGCTAATGATGAACAACGAGAAATGAATTTCAAACAAAATAAAAGTCGATACTCAGCTACATGAAGTATAGACACGGTTCAAATATCTAGAGTCGATTATAACATCGAAGATGGTTCCATTTTAAAGAAATCATTTCAAGGGTAGCACAATGTCGCAAAACTAAGAACCATCTTGTTATAGTGGAACACACCTATTCTATAGTTAATAGACTCTCCCACCTATAATAAGTAGAAGTAGTAAGAGTAACGAGGGGGGTCGGTCAGTGAGTCGACTGGCTGATCGGTTGAACTCTCTACCTTCGGGCGGGGAGGAACCCGAACGAGGCTTCGCCGAAGGGCTGATTCTCTTTCGGGGAGGTAAACCGACCCTGAGCCCGTTTATACGGGTTCAATGGGCATATTTTAAAAAGGCCTTGTGCCACATGACGCCCTCGTGTGGGTGTGACTGAATATCGTCGGTCAGTCAGTCCATTTCGGACGACAGTTAGTCGAATACTAAAGTATCAGCGACCGCAACTAGATTTCTTTGCGTCATTACCTATTATATCAAGTCCCTAACGTTTTGTACGTCGAACCTATTTTAGGACCGACTTAGTACAAATACAAGCCTCCACTGTGAAATCACTCCACAACACATCTGGAAAGACAAGAAAATTTGTCTAAAATCAAAGATCAGATTCTTGTGTGCATTGGCCTTCTCAATATGCAAATCTCGTATATTAGCAGTAGAATTACAGTGAAGAACCCCAACATTACAAAAGAGACAGACCCTTCCTCTACGTAGACTGCATAATTAATGAGGCTGTACGATACACCGTCAGGAAATAAACAGACCCGTTAGAAGACCTCGTAATCAAGATCAAGAAGAGAAACTTAAAATGCTATGGACATGTCATAAAAGCCAACAATATTTCTACTGTCATCCAAACTGTTTTTCCTTGATCGAGTCCACCAATTTCTATATTCAATTTAAATAACAATTTAAAATGTATACATTTTGCATTGATTTCAATCATTTGGGTTTTTTGGAGATAAGATGTGTGTTCTGTTGATTGCTTTCGTGATTAAAATGCTTAGTTTCTCAAATAAAAGCCATTTAACCAGCTCAGCAATTATGCATTAGGTTGCGGGTAATGGGTAGTAAGCAACGAATAAGGGGAAGTAATCAGTGTTAATATTTTAACACTATCTTTTTAAAAAAGTAACAAGTATTAACTATAGTATTAGTCGCCATCAAGCCCATAAAAGCTTTATACCTTCAAAGCCATTTTGGACTATTGGTCTGAGAAAGCGGTTGTTCGCGATTTGCGTATTTCTAAACGGATTTATGCCATGGATGATATTCTTATAAAAGCCTCGATCTGACAAGGATAGTTAAGAACATGATTTGAGTTTTTTTAAGTTAATGTTTTAATTTTGTAGCAATTTGCTGTTTGGGGCGTGACTACATCTAGCACAGCCTATTTCATGTTTAATTTTCTTATCTTCTATACTAAGTTTGTTATAACGGATTCATACACCGAGGGATTTGAAGTGTTTAGTATTTACTAATTCCACATCCTGGATTTTTATAATGGATTCAGGTTAGGCGCCATCACTGTTTTTATTCCAAATCTAGATCATACTTTCTGTGTTGGAAATATGGAATTTATTTCTTAGAATATCTGGCAGACCAGTTTGTTTTTCTGTTCAAGTTACTTCTTATCCCAACTATGAATACCTCTATCTACAGCAAAGGTTATAGGTCACTCAATATCACTATATCGGTCTCAGGAGATAAAGGAGGGGTCGTTGAATTTTATTAATATATTGGGATGTGCTATGAATACTCAAATGATTAGTTCCCATCTCTTTACATCTGGGTTTGGTAATGTCCAGGGCATAATCTAGGAAAAGAATACAAAACACTGTCACTCTCATAGTCGTACTAGTTTGAAGTGTTTTCGTGTTGGTGACCTTGCTAGATACTTTGTGAGATTTTGGGGAATTTTTCTATTAAATCGATGCATTGAATAGATTCGGAACTTGGAAGGCAGTCTCTAATGTATGAGAAAAGGAAACCCCAAATAATGAGGCCATATGCTGTTTATATTTGAAAACCTTGGTAAATTGGCGGGACGAAACTCGATAACCGGCGTTAAGAGTATCCCCTAAACTATTACAAGTTCGGTTACATGTATATACGCGCGTATACGTTGGAGATTCAAAATTAAATAAACCCTATCAGATGCGTTACATAGTAGCAGCAGCATGGAGGAATCCCTGGGCTACAGAAAGAGGTTGGTCTGTGCATTTCGTAAAGGTATTAGTGCGAAGTCAACACAAGCTACCTTAGTTGAAATTTGAACCCGATTTTCCATTTCCCGTGCTGTTAATCATTAGGCTACATCTGCAACTAAAACATTCTCATTATAGTTTTGTTTAACGGAACGTATGCATGAAAGGAATGAAGTAGTACAAAAATGAAGATAGATAGATAGATAGATAGATAGATAGATAGAAACTAACAGATAAAGAAGAAAGCAGCAAGAAAGAAGTAATCAAACAAATTCAATCATAGAGACATACAGAAAGAGAATTAGACAGAGATATAATGAGGTAGGTTATAATAAGGATATATATATATATATATATATATATATATATATATATATATATATATATTACAAAGAGGTTATATATACATTCATACAAATATATACTGTATAAAGTGATAGACGGATAGATAGATAGATAGATAGATAGATAGATAGATAGATAGATAGATAGATAGATAGATAAAAAGAAACACTAATAAAAAAGAGTGATAAAACAAAGAAAGCAAGCAAACAAGCAAGAAAGAAAGAAAGAAAGAAAGAAAGAAAGAAAGAAAGGAGGGAAGGAAGGGAAGAGAAAAAGTTACACAGCCATAAAAAGAAAGACAGACAGAGAAAAATAAATAAATTTCAACAGTTCGCGAGAAAGAATAGAGACACATAGATCGTAAGAAAAAAAGAAATTTACATAGAAAAAAAGAAAGAAAATCAGATAGATACATTGATAGTAAGAAAAAAGACTCAATGGTAGAAACAGGTAAAATAAAGAAAGAAAGAAAGAAAGAAAGAAAGAAAGAAAGAAAGAAAAAAGAAGCAGTCAGGCATAAAAAAAGACTGGCAAATAGAAAGAAAGAAAAAAATTAAATAAGGAGAGAGAAAGAATACCCAATATATAGATTGATTGTAAAAAGTACATTTTTATATGAAAAAATCTCAATTTCCGATAGATAAATCGTATGAAAAAATGTAAATAGGAAAAAAAGAAAGCGAAAAATAAGATAGATAGATAGATAGATAGATAGATAGATAGATAGATAGATAGATAGAGATAGATAGATAGATAGATAGATGCAAAAAATAGTAAGGTAAAAATAAATAAATAAATAAATAAATAAATAAATAAAGAAAGAAAGAAAGAAAGAAAGAAAGAAAGAAAGAAAGAAAGAAAGAGATGGGTACGCATACTCAGATATAAAGGTAGCGGGAAGTTGTTTAAATGAATTCACCGAGAATGGAAATACTTTGCATGATTCCTAATGTGTGTATGTCTGTGCGCTCGTGCGTGTGCGCGTGTGTATGTGCGTGTACATCCCAATTCTCTGACAGCGGCGGTGTCAGTGGTAGCACTCAATGTGAAGGTGGTAGGAGGCTGGAAACGCTAAGTCTGTGTGTGCGTGCGTATGTGCGGAGCTAGTCAGAGAAGCATCTATCTTATTCGTGAGCTGGACGTCAGCTTCGTGCGTTTTGTAATGGACGACGCTTGTTTCGCGTAACATATAAAATATTCTGCTTCCGATTTTTTTCCAGAAAGAAAAATGCACATTTTACTCTAATCAAAAGAAGGAAAAGCGATCGAGAAAGAACGAAAAAAAGAAGAGAAAAGCAAAGCGCGATTACGTATTCGCTTCGTGCGAATCGAAACGGTCAAAAAGAACACTACACGGAAAGAACAAAAAAAAAAAGGAATGAGATAAATCGATAGATAGAAAGAAAGAGAGAAAGAAAAAGAAAAGGAAGAAGAGAAGGAGAGTTTTTCAAAGAAAAAGAGAAGAAAAAAGGGTGTTGTTTCATATTAACGACCCCCAGGATTTTGGTTTACTAGAAGCGAAAAAATTGCAGAAATATAAATACTGCGAGAGTAAAAGTGTATTTTTAAAAAGAAATTGCCAAAAAAAAAAAAAAAAAAATAGCCAAAAAAAAAAAAAAAAACTCTCCAAAATTTCTATTAAAAAAATTTAAAAATAACTTAAAAATTAAAACTGAAAAGAACACAGGAGAAAATACATCTTCAACAATTAAATCTATCAATGAAAAGAAAATTATAAAAAAAACAAAAACATTACGAATTAACACCGTGGAATAATTTATACACTCATAAATTTAACCGTAGCGATCATCTGGAAGCGTGTGTGTGTGTACGTCGACTACTGCTCGTGATCGTTAAGAGTAAAACAAACAACAGCAAAAAAAGCGTTCAATATCGACTTTGCGTTCTATAGACGTTATTATAAAACTATTTGACGCTACTGTTGTGTTTATTTTGTTAAAAAAAAGGAAAAAAAAAAACAAGAGAAACGTGGCCGACAGATCTAATCTCATCGACATCACTTCTCATGTTTACATTAACAGGAAATTTCCAGAGGAAAGCGTCTGAATTCGTCATCCTGTGTTTTTTCTTACTACGATCAGGATTTCAAACAACGGAGTCCAAGAGATCATAATACCGACAGACAGTAACAAATAGATAATACGTAACCTATTTAGATAATATATATTCATATATATATATTTATATATGTATATATAGATATATTTATAAATGTGTGTTTGTGTGTTTGCATGTATATAAAACGAAAATATAGCAAGCAAGCTACAGGAGAAATATTACTATTGGGAATTCGTTCCACGAGGAGTGAGAGAAAAGAAATCCTATTTTCTCGGAAGATTTTTTAATATTCTTTAAAGATTTTAAACGCTCGAGAAAAGCGTTGTTTTAGCTTCCGTGGAAAAAAAAATCATTTAATTAAGGTCAAGAACAATAACATAAAAAAATTATTACTACAAACAAAAGATTACAGAAAAACGTAAACAAAACGCGACATCGATTTCTTTAAAGAAGGATAAAAAAAGAAGAATTTCAAGAATACTGAATTGATATTTTGTCAAGTGATAAATATAAACAATTTATAAAAGAAAACATAAAAGGAAAACCAAGAGGGGTACCGAGTTTGAATCAGAATTACTTAGTTTCATTTTTTTTTTTAAAAAAAAAAAGAGAGCCAGGCAGACAGAGAGAAACGGCGCGAGAATAAATAAATATATAACGAAAAACTGAACCGAAACTATTTTTTCGAATCAAATTATTATTTTTCCCTTCTAGTCAAGTTCCTGTCATCTAACAAAGTTTCTTCTCTCCATTGTTTTTTCTTTTTAATTTCTCATTATCAAACAATTTGCCTTGTCCAATCTACCTATCCTACCTCACCATCCTTCCCCAAAATTCTTTCCTTTCCCCCATTTTGGGCACGGCATGATCCACACCCGAAAGCTGCACTGACCACCGCTGTTGAGTTGACTGAAAAAAAGGAACACACACCGCAATAATTTTCCCGCCTTTTCTCCGATCTGTTGAACCGATAAACCTTGCGATCTTCTCCATTTTTTTTTCTTGTTCACCTTTGTTTCCCATTCATCAGTAATCGGAGAAATAGTGGGAATCCACAGTTCGTTTCTGCCTGCCTTCCCACTTTTAGACAAACAGCAAGCCAGCCAGCACCTCCTATACCCACCTAATTATTCTCCTCACTTACTCCTCTACGCTCACACAATCTCTCCCCAACCTATTGATCTCACATTTACCCCCCTAGGTGCCACCGATACCTTTCCGTATGCATCTTCGTACTCACGAGTCTAGCTATCTATCTATATATATACGTATATGCAGATGTAGATACTGATAGATACAGTTTGGTACCTTTTTTTCACCTATGTGATAACATACTTCCAACTGTTTTTCCTTTCTGCAAAGTACATAAATCTATAAACAATTTCTCCATGTTTTTTCCGCTCACTTAAATCTCCTATCACCACAACAACAGCTTATATATCAAAGTGTCCGTATAGATTTTCGTGAAATGTAACTATATATCGATACAGCACAATATCTTATTAGTAACACTATTAAAACCGACTATTTCGCCTGAGAATATTTAATAACCTATTGATATTAGTTTAATGAAACGCCTGCTTACGAAAGAAGACAGACTGTGTGCAAAGATCAAGAAATTGTGCATCGCTTCCGTTACTGATTCTTCTGTAATTGTCCACTACTCTGGTGATAAGCCCTGCAACTCGTAAGCCAGTGAACTGACACCAAATTACGGAAACCCAGCCAATCAGAGACTCTATCAACATATCAACCCAACCATACATTCTACTTTTGAAACACGTTTTAGCGCCTTACTGTGGAGCATTGGTTATTGAGCCCACCAAGCAGGGCCATTACTACTGTTGTGGGTTCGATCCTTGCCGGGTGCCACACTCTTATGGTCTTGGTTCAGGCTACCCTTTCTTGAGATTCCTTTTTAAACCTGCACTTTGTTGTTTAATTGTTGTTGTTTATTTTATTTTTTTCTCCCGTTTCTGTTTTTTTTTTCTTGTTCACTTCCCCAATTTTACGTCTCTGTATAAAGTTACCTGTTTTACGTACTTCTAAAATCTCTCCCCGCTTACACCCCACTTTTTTAGCCTTGAAAATATTGAATATTTGTGGATACCCCATACCTCAGACTGATTGGAGCTGACATTTTGTTTACCCTGCCCTTTAATTTACAGTTTTTTTTATATATATATATATATATATATATATATAAACACACACACACACACACACACACACACACACACACACACACACACACATATATATATATATATATATATATATATATATATACATCTATATATTCTTATACTTTTGCATTTGTTATATATTTCTATTCCTACACACACAGACCCACATTTCTAATCATAGTAGGGTAACACGGGAATATATGCAGTAATATATACATATAATATATATATATATATATATATATATATATAAATAACGTTTGAAATATACTCAATATATGTATAGATATATATAAAAATAAGGAGTGAGGTAATAAATTATGTCTGTAAGCATTTTTACTTAGCACATCATTCTAATTGCAGTGCAGTTGTCATGTTAAATGAGTAAATATAACCTAAAAAGTACATTACGCTCTCAAGTAAATGCTGGTTATATGTAACCAACGATAAATATTGTACAGTCGCGTTTTATTTGGGGGAGATTCATTTTACGCAAAAACCTAACGCGAGAGGTCGCGTGTATTCTGATTCTATAACCAAAACTAGCGGAGGCAAATCTGAGAAACAAAATAAAAGAAAGTAGAATCTCTAAAAAAAAAACAAATAAAAATAATAAATAAAAGACAGTGCTAAAGAAAATAAAGCACACCAAATAACTAGATAAATTATTTTATCCACTGGCCATTACTATTTCTAAGGCATTAAAGAATTTATTAAGATTCGAGCGTGTAGCTTCATTCACTGCTGTTGACATCAGCAAAACTGTCACAACATCACGTCTGCAGCTAACTTCAACCTCTGCAGGTTCTGACTGAAAAGCTGCTGCCTCAGTAGTAGCACTATTTTTCATAATAGTCGCATTGAGGTCCGTATATATCTGTTCATTCGGAAATTTTGAAAGTGTACGCACACATCTTGTTTCTGGGGAATCCAGCTGAAAGTGGCTTGAACAACAACTAGTTGTGCGCATGCGTGTGTGAGTTCCGGTTAGAACTTTCGTACCTGGAACTGTGGTAGGGTTAAGAACGTGCCACCTGTGAAAGGTTAAAGGAGGGTGTCTGAAGCTTGTGGATCCTCACCCACAGAAAAAAAAAGGGTAATTAAGAGCGAGAGAAAAAGGGAGAGAGAGAGAAAAGTATTAATAAAGGTGAAAAGGGAGGAAAAAGAAGCCGAGTGTCGAAAGATAATAAACTAAAAAAAAAAAAGAAGAAAAAAAAAAGGAAGAGAGTTTGAATGGGAGAGGGATAGTGACTGTAGAAAGTAGAGCAATCAAGCGACTATCAGTCACTTGTACCATTCATGCGTATGCATTAAGTGAAAAGCGTTGGCCGAATTCGTACATTGAAATCAACTGTGCAGTTACGGATATACAACTACACGCTTCTTCACTATAAGAAAAAAAAATCGCTCATCCATATACTGACAAATATACATAAACATACACAATAACAAACTTAAGCTTTTCACAAAAGTACCCACCCGCCAACAGTCAATCTAACTGCCAATAACTCGCAACTCGCCTTTCTCTCTCTCTTTATATATATATATATAAATATATATATATTGATGAACCTCCTTGAATACATATAGGAGTATATACATGAGAAAGAGTAACATTTATGCCCGTTTCTGCTGCTCTAAACACACTTACATCTAGATGGATATTCACACTGGTTAACACTAGTACTGACATCCAGTTACATTGGGGAAATTACCGCTGAAAGATATTATCTGTGTCTACCCAGAGTATCTTAGGAGCACCTGTTGATACGACTTCTGCATTATTCATAAAACTTGCATATGACCGTGAAAATTATTTTCTAAAATAAATATACGAGGATTAATTTAATATTTACTTTTAAGACTCTAGTGAACTGGAAAGAAAAGCATTCGCAATTACTTCATTCTTTTAGTTCGTTTAATAATTCGGAGAAGATAAAGACCCTCACTTATATAGGGTATATTTTATTTTTTGTGTACCATTTGTAAAAAAAAAAAAAAAAATACACAGGTTAAAAAATAATCCGAATACTATTTCAAATCAAGCGCACGAAAGAAGAGCTTCTATTACGTTTAGATATACATACATACATACATACATACATACATACAGATAGATAGATAGATAGATAGATAGATAGATAGATAGATAGATAGATACTCGCTCTCTCAAGCATCTACAGAGAAAGCTACAACTTTACAATCATGTCTGATAAATCCGTTGAGTTTCCAGAGATTCTGGAGTTGAATGTAGGTGGGGTGTCCTATACGACAACTTTAAATACGGTACGCAAAGATCCCGAATCTCTCCTGGCACAAATGTTTACCAACAGCGGCAAAATGCAGATCCTGAGGGACTCAAAAGGTAAATACTTTTTGGACCGCGATGGCGTCCTCTTTCGTTACATACTTGACTATCTTCGCAACCAAAAGTTGATTCTACCCGAGAATTTCCACGAGAAGGAACGCCTGAAAACCGAGGCGGAATATTTTAATCTGCCTAATCTAGTCCGTACCCTGACCACAATGAATGTGACTCGGCCGATCGGACCTACCTCGAATACATGCTGTAATGGTTTCGTAACAGGCAAGCAACCAGGCTATCTGACCGTTGGCTATCGGGGAACGTTCGCATTTGGCCGCGACGGACTGGCTGATGTGAAATTCCGTAAGCTAGCTCGAATAATTGTATGTGGGAAGGTATCTCTCTGTCGAGAGGTATTCCAAGATACTTTGAATGAAAGTCGCGACCCAGACCGTGGAACTGAAGATCGCTACACGTCTCGATTTTTTCTCAAACACACATTCTTGGAGCAGGCTTTTGACATGCTAATAGAACAGGGCTTCTTCATGGCAGGATCGTGCGGTTCTGGGACAGACAGTGCCGGTGAAATCAAGCCAGGACTAGATACGGAAGAGTCAAAATGGCAGCATTATAACGAATTCATTTTTGAACGTCGGTGAACAGCTGCATTCGTTTAAAATCTACATATCTATATATCTATATATCTATATCTCTATATTTTTCGTCTTCCCCAACCCCCCCAACAGCCACACCCAATTCTTTACTTTATCCCTTTCTTTCATTCTTTTAAAAATGTTTTATGAAACCCCACATCTGTAAGAACAAGAGAAAGATTATACATACATATATATATATATATATATATATATATATATATATATATATATATATATATATATATATATAGTAACAAGATGATGTTGAATCACGAATGAAATGCTGTAATTTGAAATTTTCAATCCTCAGTATAAGAAGCAAGAATAAGCTGATTAAATTTTTAAAAAAGTTATGAAGATTTTTAGAAAACCACAAACATCGGCTTGAACTATTACCATAACACCAATAGTTTATTGTTGTTGTTGTTATTATTATTATTATTATTATTATTATTATTATTATAAACATCTTTAATATCTCTTATTGATAACTATGGTTTAATATTATTTGTTTTATCGAGATATGAACGCAGTGCAAGAGATTAATAAATGTCTGTGTTAACAACGGATAGACTAGGCCACACGATCAACAAACAGAAAAGGCAACACTATGCTTGAATGACTCTGAATATAGCACAACAACAAACAGATAGAGCAAAAACAACATCAAAAGCAACAACAACAATACAAGTGTGCCAATTTGATCAGATTAAACAAAATCAAAAAAAAAAAAAGACATGGAGGTAATTAAACCGAGAAGATTTTTTGTGAAGGGGATTAAATTTAAAAGAAAACTTTACTATAGAAAAAAGATTTCACTGCAGAAAATAAGGAAAGAAATAACACACAAAAAAGAAACACTGCCCCAACCCAGGAGGTTGATAAAAACAGAGGATTACGTCCATCATACTGACTACAATCAAACACACACACACACACACGCAATCATAAATATAAAAAAAATAAATATAAAATACAACTGTCTTTACTGTGAAACAAAAAGTGAAAAAAAAATCCTGTAAGGATTTTTTTTTAAATGCACCGAATATTTTATGGATATTATGATAAAAGCTGACATCTCTCATGTACGAATCTATACGTACGAAGAAAGAAAGAATATATAATTTAAAGAAGAATTTCAAAACTAAAATCTTAGAATTTGCCAGACACAAAACGTCCACAACCGCGAAATAAAAATAATCAACAACTGAACTTGAACTCACAAATAGATGAGTACCAACTGTATCACCATGATTAACAAGCGCATCTTCAAAAATCAGTTACATGTAGTGAGTTCGATTCTTGCTTCTACTGGGATCTTGTGTTGGACTGAGATTAAAAAAAAAAAACTTAAAAAGTGCACACTTACATTGTCATTTGCTCACAGCTGTCTATTTGCATTTACATGGATTCGATCGGTGGATTTTGCAAGACGACAGAAATTGAGATTTTAAAAAATTACACCTTACAATTTGCATATTAATTTAATTATATTCCAAAGTTGTAAACAGGTCTAAATGTTATGGAAAATATATATGGAAGATACGAACGTATTAAAAAGCAACAAAACTGTGGGGAAATATTATATATTCATAGCAAAACGGTAGAGTAAAGATATTTATTTAAAATAATTCATATTGTTTAAATAACAAAAAAAATATAAATCTGAAAAATTATAAGAAAAAATAAACAACAAAAAAAAACAAAAAGCAGAATGTATATAAAAATATGAAGAATGTTAAAAAAAAAAAAAGATTCATTTTTTTTTTTCAATTTATATGAAAAGCAAGAAAACCCCGATTTTTTTTCTCTCCAAATTATATCAGTTTCTTTGGTATGTAGAACACTTAGTTCGGAGGAAGATAAAGAATAAAAAAAAAAAAAAGAACTAAAAAAAAAAGTAAGAGGAGGGAAAGGAATTAAAGAAGCAATTAAAATAAAACAGCTCCAGGAGAAAGAGAAGAAAAAAAAAAACAACGAGAAGAAAGAACAAAAGACGAGACGAACCTTCAAGAGCGTCTTATAAAGACGAAAGTGAAAGTGAAAGTGAAATTGAGCGAGGATAAAAAAAGACGAAAAACATAAGAAAAAAGAATAAACAGTAAGACGATAAACGCAAGAGAAGAGTTAAAAAAAACATAAAAAAATATTATTGATAAAATCAGAGAACAGGGTGATATATTTTCAATGGAAAAACAAAAGTAAGTAAAACAATAAATATATATGGATATACACATTTGTTTATATATATACATATACGCATATATTTAGTCCTATATATATATACATAGGTGTATATTTACATGTTGATATACATATATATATATAAATATATATATATATAATATATATATATATATATATATATATATATATATATATATATATATGTATATATATATATATATATATATATATATAAAGCAAGCATTTATATGCATAATATACCACGAGTATACACATGTTCGCATAAATATATATACATATGCATACATATATATATACATATCCCATCTATATTTATGCATGTATAAAGTTGAAATATATATATATATATATATATATATATATATATATATATATATATATATATATATATATTACATACAGACATTTTATGAGAGAGAAAAACACCCTATTACTTCTTCTAGACTATATTATCATTATATTTAGTGATATTATTGATAATTATTAATGATTATAATTATTTTTGTTGTTGTTGTTTTTATTATTGCTGTTATGTTATGTTGTGTGGGATATTTTTTTTGTTTTTACTTAAAACATTTTTTTGTTGTTATTACTGAAGGTGAATAAGATGATGGCGACTACGATGATGATCATGACGATGACGACGATGATGATGATATGCATACCACCAGTTTTCTTGTTGAGGGGTGGTGGGGGGTCGATTTGTTTTAGAACCCTTATAGAACTCTTATTTTATTCATTCAGTGTATCAACATCGTTCTCCTCATGGAAATATTTCAAACATCCAAAGCGTAAACACACTAATAATATGTATATCGCGCATAGGGAGATCTGCCGATAATATTGAACCATCTAAGTATGTCTAAATAGTTTTACTTTTCATTTTAAGCCCATATGTGGACGGAGGGGACACAACTCCCAATTAAGAAATTTATTTCAAATACCCTACTGTCTGCAAAAAAAAAAATGAAATGAATTAAAAAAAACAAAAAAACAGTTTAAGTTGTTAATGAAGAAAGCACCTTTTTTTTTTAATTAGACGTTCCCAGGATAAAATGTTTCATATTTTAATGGTTTTCTCGACATATAAAGTGTAGAATTTTATACATTTTAAACATGTTGTTATTATTAAATACTTCTGTTGATACGTGTTTTGTTTATATTTTATTTGTGTGAACACTATTTTTTTTTTTTTTTTTTACAAAGTAGTGTCAGGTTAATAAAAGTTCTAAACTCAGAGTTTTTTTTCTGATCGTGCCAATTAGCGATAGGTTAACTTTGACTGAATTTTTCCAGGAGTTTGCTCAATGGTAAAACCTTCACTAATGGGGATTCCGCGGATGCTGAAAACCCATGTAATTTCCATGCCATGAATTTAAAAGCAATATGTATGTATGTGGGAGTGTGTGAATAAAGTTGAATTAGAATCCTTTGAAGCTGTAAACATATAAGTCAATTTTTAAAACTTCTATTTGACATGGTTCTACCACCAATATATATATATATATATATATATATATATATATGTGTGTGTGTGTGAGTGTATGTGTGTGAAGTAATTAGCCTTTTTTACACGACATTATTTCAGATTACTACAGCACTGTATTTAGCGGATACACGTATTTTTAACGTTTTTCTACTAAACAGAGACATCAATGTCTTTCAGCCTAGATATACAGTCTTAGTAATGACAATGTACCTCTCGACGGCAACCGAATCAGCATTCCCTTTCACCTTAGAAATTACCTTCATGTCATGCATACTTTACTACTTAGCTAAGTCGTTTTTTCTGTGTGTGCGTCTGTGTGTGGATGTCGTACAAGAAGTTATCTAAAACTTATGGGATTCGAGATGAAATGTCTTCCTCTTCCGTAAAGAAAACAAAGGATATAGTTCTATATTTCCATATTACATATTACTCTATTTATGACAGTGGAAACACTAGATAACTTGATATATTGCTATACTCATTCATTGGTTAAAATTCTCGGACCTTATATTCCCAAATTTCATTTAATTTACATACTGCAATTAAACTGTCAACTGTAAAATTTACTAAGTGAACAAACGCCGACTTCGGTTTCAACTATTTTGTAAAACGACTACTACCCCTAATACACACACACACACACACACACACACACACACATATATATATATATATATATATATATATATATATATATATATATATATATATATATATATATAATAAATGAATTCTAATGAGCCAGGTACTACCTACCTAGGTTTCACCACATGGGATCATCTGATAGATGATCCCATTAGAATTGGCTCATTAGAATTTATTTATTTTACTTTTGCTCTACTTAATGTATTGATCACTCTTCACCGAGTTTAAATAGATTTACGTCATATATATATATATATATATATATATATATATATATATATATATATATATATATATATATATATATATATATATATATATATAATGATCCTCAACCACTCGATCAATATAGCTCAACCACATGTTACATCTTTGTAAATATTTGCAAAACAACTGCAGGCCTTGGGAGATACATGCGTGTCCATATAAGTTGAGCACCTCTTTATTTTACTGAGCGTCAAATAGGCGTCCATGACGAGAGTGTCTATAATGTATACAGGTTGTGATGGAAAAAATTGTCGTTGAAATTACGCAAAAATGAAACAAATACTAACAGCTCATTTTAACAGATATATTTACAAAAAATTACACAAAAATATCTTGAAATACTAAAGAGTAAATTTATTCAATAAAATTGCCATTGGTTTCAATCACGACCTCC